GAACTTTTAATTTTCACATGTTCAGACTTCTTCCATACATTTTCACTTTTCTGACCTCTCTGAAAGATAAAAGAGAATACTTGTTTGAATCTATTTTTTCCATCCTAGAGAGAACAAGAAACTTATGGGAAAGAACCTGTTGCTGCCTCAACTACAATAAACTCTATGGTATTGAAATTCACCTCAGCAGTGGATAACAGGAAAAGCAAGGGAAGAAAGCTGAGTCACACCTGGTCATCTCTCTCTACAACAGCAGCTATAATAATAATGATTTATTTTGGGACAAGTGTCATTTTGTGGGAGGGAAAAATGAAGTAAGAAATACAGAGAGTGAAAACAAAATCCAAGTCATTTAGCTTTATGACTAAAGCCTCAAAGATGTACAAACGTAATGGTGAATTCAGGTCACCATTACAGTCACAACATTCAGACCATGTTTTCTTTCAAAACTTGTGGTATTTAAAAACATTGCCAAGTAAAATCATGGATTATTATTTATCATCTCAGTATCAAGAAAATGTGACAAAACAGGGAAAAAATGCTCATACATCCTTTAGAAAATTTAAAATAGGCGACAACCTTGGTAGTAAAACCAAAAATAACACTTGGTAAGAAACTGAACTAATTTAGGCCTTCAAGAAAAGGCAAAAAACCATAAGCGTTCTTTTTATGTAAAGAACTTGGCTACTCTGGGGCACAATTTCTTACTTAGACAATCCTCTGGCATTAGATCACAGCTGTGTACCTACTGTCATGCTGATACAATGCCGCTTGAAATACATTTGGCTATTCTGTGTGTGAACATAGAGAAATTCAGTATTTGAAAATACCTAGCACCTATTTTTTCCCATGAACTTTTAAAAATTTTCCCATGTGCATAAAAAATGAAAATACTGGTATGTCAAATTTTTTATTCTGCATTTGTTTAGTGTAAAGCACTTAATGGGAACAGCAGTTTAAAATAATCTTTTTGAATAAAAATACTCTAATTAAAATATTTCAATCAATTGAACAGATTCACAACTCCAAACTTACATTTACATAGTATGCTATGGAATTAATTGCACTTTTAAAAATGGACAAGAAACAGATCTCAAAGGAGAGAGGGCAAGAAAAAAATTGTCATCTTTCTCCTCCTGGTCTTCTCTTCATCTTCCCTCTTCCTATTACCATGCACTTCAGCTGGGAATGTAACATTTTTAAACCTTTACCTACCCAAAAGTGAAGAAGTACCTTCTGGTTTTCCTGTATTACTGATTCAAGTTCACCTGAATTACTCTTTCATTACGGCATAATTAAAAATTTAGCATCTCTATTTCAGGATACACGTCAGGTGTCCAACTGCAGGCATTCTGGCTTCTGGAACAGGAAGCTTGCCCATATTAAATGCTCATCACAACCAAGGATGATTCAGAAACTATGCCATTAGTGTTCACAGTTTCCCTCCTTCACTGACCAGGCCTACAAGAAGTTTCAAGTAAGTTCAGATAAGCACAGGCCACAAACTTTCAATGAACATGGTGGTCATGGCATAAAAATTTTTGCTTCTGTACCGCACAGAACTAACTCATCTTGGCACAGCTGAGTATGTAAATTCACTGAGATTCACAGAGGATTTCAGCCTGGCCTGAACAGCAGCTTCTGAGTGTGCTGAGTAAACATTTGTATTTCTACCTCCTTTGAAAGAAACATTAATTTAAAACAAGATGAGGACAACCAGGCACCTTCAATGGCTCCAGAGCAAGAGTGTTCAACTTTCATACAAAAAGACTAGTTAAAAAAACCCATGCACTTCAAAGGTTCAAAACCGCATCTTCAACCCCTCAGGAAGTACCTTTAAAGAAATATTTTTCCTGTTTAACTTTTCTTAGTGCCAGAAACCAGTATGTGCCCCAGTCCTGGGCCCTCCCCAAAACCGTAACTTCACTTTATCAACTAAATATTAAGGCGCTTCCCTCCAAAGCAAAACTGTACTCCAGATTCTGCTACAATTTCCTTTTAGCAAAGGGCCCCACAAACACCCAAACAAAGGTTGAGTCCTGGGATGTTTGGGGAAGATAAATGTCCTCTGAATCATTATGCTAAACTGTACTTCCCTTTTGCTCTTCCTGCCTTTACACTAAGTTCTCTGCTAAACCAGACACAGCATCCCAACAGAAATCACAGAAAATGCAACCCAGTCTGCATTATGGTGGTCAGGTTAATGGAGAAATTTTAATCCTCTGAGACTATGAAGGATACTTAAAATAGTAGTTGCGATATTCAAAGACGGTATTGCGTTCAACTTTTTTGGTTTTTTACATGGATTTTATTCCATCCTCAGAGAGAAGATGCATAAAGTCATGGATGACTACGATCTCACAGACACTAACACAATTCTGTTACCTTAAATATGAAACAGCTGCAAGAGCATGGGCCTCCCTGTTTTGACTTTCAACTTTCTCAGGCTGATGGTTTCCAAGGCCATAACTCTTTCTAAGCCTAGGTATATCTATAAGCAATGATTCTAGTAAAGGAGATACCAGAACTTCCTGTTATGTAATTTTTAGGTATTTCCCCTCCCATCCCCAAACATCTCCAATTATCTCAGAGCACACAGCTTTCAAGAACATCAGCAGAAAGAAAATGGTTATCCTTATCAGAGTAGTCAAACTGCAGACAACTCTAAATTGCTTTAGTGAAACTGATGACATTAATCCCATCTATTTGCACAGGGAGATCAAAATGGAGGATAAGGTAATACTGACTTATATCACTGCTCAAAAGAACTGTAGATATACTCTTTCAGTACATGTGATATAAATCCACAGTGTACTTAACAAACTGAATTAAAAAAGGTTTAAGCCAAGCAAAAAAGTTTCTCAAGCTAAACCCCAAATCTACTCTACAGTAGAGTCTCTGCAGTATTTTAAACTGATTTAACTTGCAGTCCATTCAAATCAGGTCTCCAATGCTTCATGTTAGCAGGTGCACACAGAGCAGCCCAGCCTCACGCAGACTTACTGACTCAGATCCCTGATGCACTACAGAAGCATTAGTGGGGCACTGCATCTTTTATAAACTTGGCCACTCAGAGCAGGTATTCACGTGTTCAGTTTCAATATCACTTGGAGGCTGCAGTATTGCTTCCTGGTCGGAAGAAAGACCCTGAAGCACACAAGGCATCTCAAAAAATCATTTGTCAACCAACTTAAAACAAGCCAGCTCAGTTTCTTTGACAAGGTAAGGCTTTATGTATTTATCCATGCACAGTTTTATACCTTTCTAGTTTTGTTTTTTATCTTTATTTTCCCCATAACATGACCAAAGACACAGTTCAAAAGAGCTGCAAAAAACAGTCATCTTTTCAGACAGCGCTATTTGAGAAAAAATGAAAAGGAAAAAAATACAAGCTGGGGAAGACAGAGAATGAAGGGAGACTATGTATTCTGTCCGTGCCTTGACAGGCAGCAATCGGATCTTTTTACATAGATATAGAAAAAGAAAAAAAGGTAACAGTCAGTGTCTCATTTTTTAAAGTCTCTCTTTAAATCCTGTGGAATCACAATTTTCCCTTTCCTTAACCTCTAAAGAGCATCTTAAGGAACAGCCTAATGAAGGTATACTGTTTTAAGTTGACAACAGGATTATTTCCATATTTCTTCATTGGCCACAGGGATATTTCCATGACTACTCCTTCTTCCTTAAAAAATTACTATTTTTCTGCAAACTGTGTTTCACTCAGAGTCTTAATCCTCAGTGATGACTATTGTATCCACATGGTCATGATGTAATGAAGAGAAGCAACCACTTCTGGAGGCAAAAAACCATCACAAGCCTTTCATGAAGTCTCTTAATAATCTCAAATAATTTATCACTAAAACGTCTGCCCACATTTCAAATAGGAATATTATCTCAAAACACAACGCACTTCAAGAGAAGATAATGTATTCTTCACTGACAACACTCTTGGGCCTTTCCAATTCCATGTTTAAAGCCATCAACTTCACTTAGGAAGGGTTTATATTGCACCTTTTTGGCTGAAGAGAGCTTAGGGGAAATTAAGATTTACATCACATTATTTACTGGAATAAATCTGTCCAAAATAAATTCACAGTCCTATAATGAAAAAGTGAATAAAACTTCAATGTACTTGAACGTACAAGCTTTCAAACCAGGTGCAAAAACATATGCAACTGTCAGTATGTAGGTTCAAATACAATGCAGAGATACAGCACACATGAACACCATGAACAGAACTGATGTCTGAAATGCCTATTCATTAGGCATGTGCATTTACTCTGCAATGCCACTCATTACAGGCAGCTTTATTAAGTGTGGTACCTGTGAGATGAGACCTTACCGTCTACCAAAATTCTACACACGCAAAGCATCTTTGCATCAATATTCAGGGCAACAGCATGTCGAGGGTTTGACATACTCTCAACTGCATTCGGCTAACCTGTTTGATCTCTTCTCTGGCCCGACAACTAATTTAAATGATGAATTTTTTATCATGATGCAGGTAAATGAAGTTAAACCAGATAAACCAGGTCTTATAGCAAAAGGTCTTTCAGCTTCAGCAGTGGCAGTACTCATCTCACAGACAAGCCAACCCCGGGTCCAGGTGCAGGCTCGCTCTGCAGCAGGTCCCGCAGCCGGGGCCGGTGACACGGCAGCACCGGGGCTGTACAATGTGTACAATGCCCACAGCCCCCGCAGCCCCGCAGCGCGGCTCCCGGGCTGTGCCGAGGCTGCGGCGCGTCCTCGGCAGCCGCCCACAGCCACCCACAGGCACCGCAGGCAGCCCCAGCTGCCCTCGCACCGGCCAGCGGTGGCGCGGCGGGAGAAAAGGGAGCGGAGCGGGGAGGGGGAAACGGAGAGGGGAAAAAAACACAAACCACAAAAAAAGAGGGCGCTGGGGAAGGGAGCAGCCAGCTGTTCGGGCACCTCCTCCCGCCGGGCACGGTCGCAGACAGACACCTCGGCAGCTCCTTTGTTCCTCCCCTTCCCTCACTCACCCACGGTGGCCAAGGTCTCCAGGTCCTCCAGCTTGTAGGCAGCGGGCTCGAGCGGGGCAGGCGAGCCGGGACCGGCGGGGCTGGGGGCTGGCACGACGGGCTGAGGCGCGGCCACTCCCGCCGCCGCCGCCTCGCCGCCGCTCTTCGCCCCCATCTTGGCCTTGGCAGCGCTGAAGGCGTCCATGGGGCCGAGCGGGCGCCCCGCGGCCGCTCAGCGCATGGAGAAGAGCGAGAGGAAGAGAGAGGAGAGGGAGCGGCGGGGACGCAAAGTTTCAGTCTTCAGCAGGCGGGGTGGCTGCTCCCCAGGGCTGGAGCCTGCTGCCGCGTCTGAGGGGGCGCGCAGCCCTTCAGCATCGCGGCCACAACCGCCACGCCGCCCGCCGCTGCCCGCAGCAGGCAAGGACCGCCGCGCAGACAATGGCGAGGGTGCGCCTAGCCGCGCCACACGCGGGGCGGAGGGCGGGGTTTGCCGCTGCCGCTGCGGCACCGTCCCGCTGAGGGCTGGCGGGGCGGGGAGGGGCCGGGGGAAGCGCGGCCCCGCCGCTCAGCGGGAGCGCGGCCGTCGCCCCTCGCCCTGGCGCGACCCGGACCGTGTGACCCGGTGCTCTCTGCTCGTCCTTCCCCACCCTGAGTCCCGCCCGAGGGGCAGCGCGGCGGGGAACGGGGTGGAGGGAAGTGCCAGCGGCTGCCGCGCCTGCCCCGCGCTCCCTCGGTGCTGCAGGAACGCCTGGGACGGTGCCGTCCGCTCTCTGCAGAAAGTTAAAAATGAGCGGTGGGGCTCTTGCGAAGCGGCAGCTGGGCCCCCCCGGGCTGCACAGTACCAGCCCTGGGAAGAGCTGGTCTTTCCCCACGCGTGGGAGCACGTGTGCGAGTAGCTCCCCCGCACATCCCGGGGTTTGTCACTCCTTATTTTACTCCCAGTTTCCAAGCAGGTGTGAATTCCGCCCCGGTCACAGCCCCTCGGCGTCCCCTGCTCCAGACTGCCGGGTGTTCGTGTGGCTGGGGACGGGCTGAGCTCGGCCGAGACAGGAGACAGCCGCCTCATGCAGCAGCAGCAGTGCAGTACACAGCTCCGAATATAGCTCCTTCCAGAGCAGCCAAGAAGCTGTTGACGATTATGCTGGAAGGCAAGGCAAATATGTGTGGAACAAGTCGTTGTAAAGCATAGACATCAAAATTGGGAAAGAAATCCTAGTTTTTTCCATGCCTTAGTCTGGCCCAGTTTTACCCTATTCACAGCTACTACCCTATGCTCCCGTGGGCAAGATATCTGCAAACCTGATGTGTAAGTCAAGTCACATGGCTGGCATTTGGTATCTCCTTTTTATTAAACATCATGAGAGTTGAAGGCCTATTAGTTTCTGTGTGGAGTAGGTTCAATAATAATGACAAATAATTTTGTGTCTACAAAAAAATGAGTACAAATATATAAATTATTTATAAGCATTATAAATTTCTGTACATTTATCCCGAATTTTAAGGTCTCTTTAGAATCCAATTTATAGTCGTAATATCAGAGGCTATAAAATGCATTTTTATCTTTTAGCTTGTTGACATGAAGGTTAATGACTAATTCGGAAAATCATTAGGTCATCCCTGCTTCCTGTCAGCCTTTGAAAAGTCACCAGTCAAGGAGGATGACATCACTTTTGCTCCAAAATTTCAGATTTCATCTGTGAACTCTTTGGAATGCAAGTTTTGCACTTCTATTTTGCTTTACTACTTTGCTGCTTTACTTCCCTTTGTGCTTCTTTACTGCGAGGTTGACTGAGCACTAGAACAGGTTGCCCAGAGAGATTGTGGAATCTCCCTGACTGGAGATATTCAGAAACCATCTGGATGCAATGCTGTGCAATGTGCTCTGGGATGACCCTGCTTGAGCAGGGAGCTTGAAGCAGATGACCACTGTGGTCCTTCCCCACCTTACCCATTCTGTGACTATGTTTGGTACAATGTATACCAGATTTACCATGATTTAGGCCTTGAATTATATATTTTAAAGATTCCTTAAACTGCAAAATGTAAATGTTCTGGCAAGCTGTAAATTTAATTCCTGTCTGCTGAAACGATAAGCAAACCAACAAAGCTCTTTTAACAATAACTGAAAAACTTCAAGAAAAATAAACATTAAAACGTTGAAGAAATCTTTGTGTCTAGAAATCTTTGTGTTTTTAGCCAAATAATTGCAAATGGAGGAAAAAATTATAAGCTGATTGTGATAATTATTTTTAAGAGAGAGTACCTTAACTTCATTCTAGCCAAGAAAATGGATGTTTGATCTTCCTGAAACCTTTCCTTTTCAATAAAAATTATGAAATCATTCACTGCTTAGATGTTAAAAAAGGCATAAAGTATTTTACTTAAGGTATTGATTATCTTTAACTGATGTATCCATTTATGCTAAAAATTTTACCTGATATTTAAATTACTTGCATTCAGGACCATAAAACTTTATTTTAAAGAGCCTCCTACTGCCATGCTTCAACAGCTGGTGGCTTGTATGAGCACCCATTCAAAACAGCTCTAATTCAGCAAGGTTCCTAAGCACAGGTTTAGTTCCATTTGATGCAGTGTCTGTTCTTAAGGCTAAGATTTGCTTCCTTCTTTTGCGTCCAAGGCACTTGCTAGTTGTATTTGTAGCAACATAATTGCAATGTTTATATTTAGAATGTCAACATATTATTAGTGTGCTTTGCCACCTCTGTATAACTCTCTCAGAATTTATCTTGCAGATACTGATTATTATCCAACAATACTTCAGGGAAAGAAAATGTCATTCTTTCCACATACAATGAGGTTGAGAATCAAAACTCCTAACTTCATGAATTGCAAGTGGGAGTAGATTGCAATAATGGATATGAAACAGTTTCTTGCCCATTTTGGACAGAATTCATAGGCAAGCTTGCAGCTCTGTACTCCTCTTTTCTTTCCTCTGTGCCCTTATTCTAACTTAAAAGGTGACCTTTTGGTCATAGGTACTTTTTGAATAATCTTGGCCTTCTTGCTCTTGATAATTCATAGTTCTCAGCTTTTTCACTTTCCCCACACAGGCATTAGGTGCCTACAGCCAGGTTCCTTTGTCTTTGAAAAATTTACCCTCTTTATATTTCCAGTCCTTTACCTTACCAGTGCTTACATGAAGGGTTAGGTCTATTTTCATTTTCCCTTAAAAGTACCAGATGTTAGAGATGATTCTTTCCAAAGACAGTGAAGATCTTTTTAAAAGAGATTTTATTTAGGAAGAAAAATGAAAACCAGACAACAGTGGTTTAAATGGCTTTCTCAATTCATTATTTTAGCGAGGGCTTATTCTTCCATTTCAGTTGCAAAAAAATGTTCAGTATACTTATATTCCCTTATAAACTCTGAATTTTCAGGGACCATACAGATTCCAGGTGTCAATTTGGTTATTCCTTGTGGCTTTTTATGTATGTGCCTTTGCCAAACTTCAGCACATACAACCACACTGGTAGTTAAATGTTTCTTTGGGTCCTAAATTACTAACTTTCCTCCTATTCCTTCCTTTTTGTGTGCAGGTTTTTTATTTTCCCATAGGAAACCTCTAATAAACAATATTAATCTAATGGAAAGGATAACAAACTTTCTACCTATCAACGAGTTGATATAACAGATCTTTTTTCTTTCATTTTAGGGGGACATTGTGGTACGCATTCCATGCAAATTGAATGTGATTTAAGCACCTAACTCTGGGAAAAGAATCAGTCATTTAAATGTCTCCATAGCTGCAGACAAAAGAGTCTTTCCTGTGGTCTGAGCAGGTTTGCGTTTGTCTACCTGAAAGCCTGCTTCTTTCTTCCCTGCAAATATATAATTTTCCTTACAAATCTTGTTAAAGCATATCTTTACCATCACCATCACAGTAAAACTACTACAAGTTTGCTGGAGAACCTGTTTAAACCTGTAGGGAGGAAATGGAGAAGTCCTTCAGTGATGGTTATTACTAATAAATAGCTCCGTATCATCTCCTTTAGTCACATTACATACAGTGCCTAAAAACGTGGGACTGCTCTGAGGAGGAAGAATAACTAGTAAAGATAATTAGTACTGGTATGTGTTTTTCATTTGTTTTGTTTTGCTAAAGAAGTTCATGATCAGGCAAGTCCTATGATGTAAACCAGCGCCCTTTCGTGCAAAAAATCCCGGCCTGGGACAAAGGAAGGGGCAAATTATTCCACCCATCTGAAGCAGTTCCTTCATAGTATGGAAATAAGCCCATCTGTATAATGAGCAATCACACATCATGTGAATGTATCTACACATTCATAAAGCAACTATCACACTTTTATTTGAATATGATTATGTTTAGCGTTTTTTTAAAAGCATTTAAATTATGATGGGTATAGTGCCTGTAACCAAATGAGAATTTAAACACAAAGAATATAACATCATTACCTGCATCCAAAACCGTGTTTCTGATGAGTCTTGCTGGGTTGATTCCTTGCTTCGGAAACGCATTGGTGTAGCCAGTTCAAACATGGAAATGCTGTTACTAGGGTGTCTAGACTTTCTGCCCAGTCTGAGCAAATTTGTGTCTAGCTTCTGCCAAAACTAGACTGAGATCTGGAAACAAGATGTTGCTTTGCCTACGTTTGCTGAGGAACTTGTTCTGTTAAGCATTTTGAAGGTATATCTCACATACATGCAAAACTGCTACCCTCACAAAAGTGAGTTGTGGCCAATTTTTTACGCACAAAAAAAAAATGTTATAGGAGCACTGTGTTACCTGATAGAAGACCCTGAAGCACCAGCATGCTGGACAAGCTCTTTGAAGTCAGATGGTGATATTTGCTTCAGTTCAAAGATACAATAAAGTAACCATGCACTAGAATATCTTTTTGTTCATTCTTTTCCTCAAACAACTAGTTATGTCTATTTACACTGGCATATCTCATTTTGAATACTCAGGATAGTATGCTGCTTACAGCAGTCACCCAGCAAATGGAGTATCCAGAATTTTTGATCTTAATTATATGAGAAGAACTCTCATTCTAGCCTCCCTTCTTTAAGCTACTGAATGCAGTTGTAGGACCTATTGTCTCACACTGTGCATTCCTACTTCACAAGCACTCCATATTTACTGTGCCAATGAAAGGATGTGTTTGCTACATTGGTCTGTGGAATTCTGCAAAAGTTGTATAAATTAAATATAATTCAAATCACATT